TAATTATCATGAGGAGTCCTTAACTAGGATGTAGTTAGGCAATTAAATATTCATGTATGTGTAAATTTATTACCATAATTGCAGGTGAGTCTCATAAATTTATGTTTTTATAAAACAAGTAGCTTATTCGCTCAAATATAAGACGCACAGGAAAGAAAAATGCCTTAACAATGGATACAAATTTCGAAAGATTTCAACACACAAAAGCTCTGTTCTTAACACCTTGCAAAACAGCTCAACTGCAGGCGTTGAGTGTGGTTTTTAGAAATATTTCCCCTTAGCAGCCATGTTAGACTCCTGCCATGACACTTTAGGACATAAATAAAGATCTTGTATTAAAAAGTCAGAGAGAAAATCCTGCAATGCAACTATAAGGCCCATTTCTGGTGAACAACACTGTCTTTTGTTTACACTGAAAGTCCACAGGGCATCTTTAGGACTGTGGGTCATTTTTCCACACAGAGCAGTCGTGAAACTTTTTAATCATCGTGTTTTATTGGTGGGTTTTATCAGCAATGTGATGACTGGCTACAAACCAACTCAATATGTAATAAAAATATTAATAACCAAAAATACAGATGAARCTAGAAAATATAGCACATCCTGCTGAGATGTTACTTTGATTAGATTTAGACTGAAGTTTGAATATGTATTTATTTCCCCTCTTAACGTTGTATGGTCCAAGTGAGACAATTCTCAATCTACCAGGAATGAAATCGGTTTCATGAAATCAAAACTTTAATTCTCTTAATGATTTAAACATTAATTTACATTTTTAATGGAATTTTTATGTTTAAAAAAGTCATATTTTTACATGTACTATATACCTCTGTCCTCATTCCAACTACCTCTTTAACTTTATTAATTATCTCTTCTGTCTTTTACCAGGTAGTTGCTTCTCTAATTTCCTTTGTTCTGCCAGTATACCCAGTGTCCCTCCTCTGAACATCTCAGTCTGGTCTCCCAAACCTTATCTCCCGTTGTTCAACCTTTGCTGTACCTCTGATGACCTCATGCTAAAGCTAAACGCTAACGCCATATTAAAGTGTTGCATGCACTATGATGACAGTGGAAAGAGAAAAGTGAGGAAATAGTTTATCACAACTGATACAGTCATCACAAAATTCTATAGTACCACATATGCACATTTTCCTGTTTTATGTAGCCTTACAAAATATCAATTTTTCAACAGTCTATGCCAGTGTTTCCCAAAGTTGGGGTCCCAAAACATCAAGGTGGGGTCCTGACAAGATTTTTTGAATTAATTACAATTTTGCCTTAATTGTTTCAAAGTGTTAGGTTAGTATATTTAAAATGGATAAATGTATATAGTACATAATATAC